TGGAGTCTGGATCTTCTGATTCCAAGACCCTTGACCTTACCTGACCTTGAACTGGGTTGGCATGTTCTAGGCTCTGAATTGAAAGACAGCAAACTGAATTCTAATCCCTGCCCTGTCCCCGGCTTTCTGGGTGATTTTGGAAAAGTCACTTTTCTCAGGGTCTCTCCTTTGTGGACTCGCCCTGGTGATTTATACTGTCACCCTCTTCTCCACTCTCTCTTTCAATGTGTTTGAAGGGTTGATCATCATGTCTAAATAACATCGCTCCCCCCAGTCACACCATCTTCCATCTCCTTGTTTTATTTTTTTTCTTTTTCTTTTGTCATTTCCATTATCATTTTTTTTTTTATGTCAGCCTTTCAACATTTTGTCATATCATTTTCAGAAATGATCTTGTTTATTTCTTTGCCTTTTGTTGTGGGTTTTGTCTATCTAGATAGAAACTCCAGGAGGTCATAACAAGCCTATCCTGGCTGATATACAAACTCCAACTAGCTCATGAAAAAGATAACTGGTTCTGTGCAGCTTGAAGGGATGGTGAAGTAGCTCATAGAAATAGAGAAGGAGCAGGACCCCAAGAATAACAAACTCAGCCCTATGTGAAAACACACACGTATGGGCCCATTTTCTCTCTCCCCTCCCTCCCTACACCATCATTTCTCACCACTGCTTATCTTTGTTCTACTCCATTCTGCACATTGCATCCATCTGGAAGGGAGGAATTATTCCAGAAGCCATAAATTCACTTTGTCCCAATTTAGCACCTTCAGCAGAAAGTTTTATTGCCCCCAGTATCAGATGGCAACCACTGGAGAAGATTCTGGTTGGCTTTGCCTTGGTGACATATGCCTCCTGCCCCAATCACAGGAGTGTCCACTGTGCCTGCTCAAACATATGCATGTGTTTGTTATTATTACTGTATGTATACTCAATTTTACATGTCTTTGAAGGAATTTATTCAAATCATTGCTCATTTTGTGTGTATAAGTTTAGGTAAAGCTAGATAGAAATCATCTTTAGATTCACTTGACTTCCATAGAAGTTAGAGCTATGAATATTTCCTTTTAGGCTCCTATGGTTAGTCTTGCTCTCCTTCTGAGTACTAGGTTGAAACATCCTTGAGTGTAGCTATCATCACTTCCCTTCTGCCCCTCCATGTTACCTCGTGCTTTAGAGTTAGTAGGTATCCTTTAAATTTCTTGCATCAGATTAAATTAACTACTTACTTAGTTAGATTTGTGGGCCTCTTCATTGATTAGATTTGTTTTATTTGGTGAGGATCTGAAAGTTTTCACTAAAAACTTACTTAATCTGTAAGCAGGAAAGACAATATCTTTATTTTCAGTTTAAGAAATGCTATTCCACAGTGCTAAGGAAGAGACAGGAACCATTAAGCCTTGCAATAAATCTTCCTTCAAATCACTCATTTGAGTCTCTGTTATTGATGTTGTCTCTAGCTAATTGATTTTTACTTTGTACCTCATTTAATGGTATGGATGGAAGCATCTGTGGGGAAAATTGCTCAGTATTTTTCTTCACTGAAACTGTAGATCCTACCCTTGACTTTTGAGTTAAAGGGAAGAAAATTGCTGGAATCCATCAAAAACCATCCCTGGGACGGTAACTAAAACTTGAGGCCCTCGCTACCAGACTCTAATGTGTGGTCTAGTACTGTTGGCTTCCACTGGAAACTTTGACAAATGCAGAATCTGAGGTCTTAGCCCAGACCTATGGGACCCGCGACTTAACCAGGTTCCCAGGTGATTTCAAAGCACAGAAAAGTTTGAGAAGCACTGTTTTAGAGATCAGAATCGGCTTCCTGGTAAGGCTTGTTGAGCTTTGCATGTAACTGGCATCTGCAGAAAGCCAGGTGTTTACAGCTGAAATCCTCCAACTATGAACTCGTTAGAAACATTGCTGATTGCCCCTGGCACTCTTTCCACCCAACTTTGGAATGTTCTCCGCTCTATAGTCCAGACAGCTTACATGGAGACAGAAAAGTTGGCCTAAGAGTAAAGACCCATTTGTCAATCTTGCCTAAAGACCAACTGTTTTCTTGAGTGCCCAACAGGCAAAGTAGACCAAAAAGAGTCTAGGTCAGTGAATCTTATGGGTGTGGTCTTTGCTTGATTGGCTAAATAATAAAGTCAAGGTCATGAGTTTGACCCTGGACCAGCCAGATAATCTCTTAATCAACTCCTCCCGGTTCTGCTGCATCTCCCATCCATCTGCTCATGGTCTTGCTAACTCATCGTGATTTCCCCTCACTAAATTGCATCTATTGCTTTAAATTAAGGTTCTTCTTTTTAGCTTTCTGATTGGGGTGCTTGAGGAGGATGATATTATTTAAGCCCATCTCCTAGAAACTCCAACTCAGACACTGACTTTGTGGGAGCCATGGTTATCTTTATTCAGCCCTATTGATGCAGCCTCAGACCGGATGCCTTATCAAGATCAGCTGTTTGCCAAATTGCTACCCCACATGGGGGAATTGGGAGGTTAGAGTCCACTTCCATTGACTAGGTTTGACAAGCTTGATCTTGTCATAGATCCTGTGGTTGCTAAGAATGCAGAATCTGAGTAACTTGTTGGGTTCTGGTTATAACTCCACTACTTCCTGACGTGACTTAGAGCAAGTTACTATGTCTCTCTTCTTCAGTTTATTTTTCTATGAAATGAAATTGTTCTAGAGCCTAATTCCCAGAGTTGCTCTAGAGATGAATAATTATGTAAAATTTAGCACAGTACATATGATAATATCCTACCATTAATATCTACTCATTTTGCTATTGGTGGAGAGAGATCCGCGTTCCCACCTGTAGCTTGTGGGAGTGGGCGTCTTGCAATATCCCAAGAAAAAGAATTTTCTGAGACTCACACTGGAGGATGAGATAGTGTGGATAGCTCTATTTTTGTGGAATCAAACCCCTGAGTTTCCAAGGTCCCATCTCTCTTTGTTCCCCCAAGGAAGAAGTGTAGCTTTGGCTTCAATAGGGCTAGAATCAAAGCCAGTATCCAGAGCTTCCATTCCATGTGTGCACAGTCCAGCACAGCATCAGGCTGGCTGAGTGTGTGTTCCCAGCTGCAGTCCACCAATCCACCGCATGTGGGGTTTGCAGGGCCACGTGGCTTGGAGAAAACACGGGCGAACGCACAAAAGCAGAAATAAGAAAGCGCCACAAGCCAAGAGCCAAGAGTCACAAAACAAACTCCTTTGTTTGGAGGATTATGTATCCCCATATTTTTGTGGGCTTACATCGTCCCCACCCATTCTGGCCAATGATCTTTGTTCCCAGGTTTTACTGACAGGCATCTTCCCTAGTCATCCCAAATTCACTGCACATGCATCTGTCTCCCCTTTGTTAGACCCCTTCCCCCAATAATATGTGAGGAATGGGCTAAGGTTCCCTGGAGGATGTGAAATTGCAGCTTCCTGGTGAAGCTGCCCAGTTGTCCATGGTTATATGTCTGGCCTCCCTTTTGCTCCTTCCCTGTTATTTATAACGAGCTAATTACAACAGTATCCATTTCATTATTGTCATAATCCTTAAGGAGATATGGTTGTATCAGAATAGAGAGTTGGCCGGGGTCAAACACAAATAATTGCAGGCACAATTTTTTTTTTAAAGTCCTCCCTTACCCCACAAACTTCTCCTCTTTATTGTCAGGTACAATTATTCCCCCAGTACATGTAAATCATGAGTTTGATCAAATGCAGGGTATTTTCTTCCTCCCCCCTAAACTTTGTCAATTTTGATACAAACCAACATAGTTTGAATAATTATAATCAACATCCAAATACATCCAGATTGATTAGAATTCAGGCTTTATTACTGTACAATGGAAAGAACCAAAACTTAATTCCAAGCATGTGTAGTTAAAGCTTGCAGAGAAGGGTATTATTTACAAAACATATTCAACATTTAAAGAAAAAAAAAATGACATTTGAAGAACAAAATATACTTAAAATGGTTTGCTTTTAAAAAGCCCATTTTCCCCAAGCCTAAACTTTGTTATTTCATAGTAAGCAATGAAGTTATTTTACATAATCTAGTTAAACAGTTTAATGGGAACAGCATTTGGCAGAATAAAAAATTGCATAGATGTGTGACTCCAAAATAATTTTATTAAAATCCAATTTGCAACCTCCAAAGAGAGTTTGCCCCTAATAGACTTAAATATATGATTATTGAAATGTAAAGTACGTAGAAAAGGAAACTAACATATATATTGTCCACCCTCAATTTCAAAAAGGAGGGTAGGAGGCTAAGGCAAGGAAAAAGTAGACATTTTTCTTTTTCCATTTTCTCATACAATCCACTGCTCCGTTACCCATTCAAATTGGAAGTGGAAATGAAATGCTGAAAGAGGAAATTGACCAAATAGTCTACCTTATCATTTCCTTTCAGGTCTTGATTAGGAAATTTACCCTACCCCCCCTCCAATTGTGTGTATGGGGATGGGGTCTTGAAGAAAAAAGTTCATGAGAATCTGAGACATTCATGTTCTGACACGGTAGGCAAGATATAAGTTCTACCAGGAAAGACAGCAACTCAAGGAAAAGACTATGGGCCAAGAGCAACTAGAATGGAACAGATCGAGCACCAGACTGAAAAGGTTTGGGGTTACGTAGCACCTAGAATCTCTGATTTAGAGAATTATCATTAACAAAATATATACTGCATTTTAAAGAGACACTTGCTTTTCTGGCTATTGTATTTTTAGTACAGACCTGGTCTATAAAAGCGAAAGGGACTAGAAAAGAGAGAAGGATGTGATAGCCCATTCTGCAGAAGCCACTTGAACAGTGTGCGTAACCTAGATGGGTCATTATTCTGATCCCACCCACCATGCCCCATGGAGGGAAAAATCACAACGTGATATGGTAGCAGAATTGGCTGACTCTTGTATTCTTGTGGACAATTGGACTTATTCTTGGGAACCACTAGCCTGTACATCATGACCCATCTTGCTTAGAAGATGCATTTGAGAAGGATCTGTTAAGGGATGATAAACTCGCATATGTACCTCTTGCTGCTACGACAGACCTCATCACTCCACTTGCCCTGAGCAGACTGGGAGAACAGGGCACAGTTTTCCCGCTTGCCACCATTGGGCTGTGCTCGGTCCCAATTGAGGAAGGAGACGGCAACTCCATTGACATCAACAAACTTGCCTTCCGTGACCAGGTCATTGATGCCCAGCCAAAAATCATTGACACCTGGCAGGCTCCTTTTACCATAGTCTCGAAGGGCATTGATCTCGTCCGTGTTTCTGGGGATGACCAGGGTCCCTCCCTTGGAAATGCAGTCTTCATTGGCTTCATGGAAGTGCTTCGAGCCTTCCGAAGCAAGGTAGCATTTCCTGTGAACTTTTGTGCCTCGGAGACAGACTGTAAGGATGTGAAATTTGACATGTTAAGATGCTTTTTGAGTGTAATACATCCAGGACTGGACCTGGCAAACAGCAAGGCATATTTGTGGAATGAATGATATGTGATGGTGAGGCTGAGTGAACATTTATTTACTGGAAATTTTGTATGTGTTAGACATTGGGCTAAGCACTTTACACAAATAAATGCATATAATAATCACAACAGTCCACGAATTGGGATTTTATTACTCCCATCTTTACATATCCGGGTATTGAGGCTTAGAGAAGTTGCTACTTGCAACAACTTAGCATGTAAAAATATAACTTCGCATGTAAGATTACAACTGCACACACCCAGGTCTGAACCTCCGTTAACACATGGCCTTTAGCCTCATGCTGCTTTGTTACACATGTGCTTGTTAGTTAGTGTAGCTCCACTATGTGCTGAATGTCCTTGGGACTTTTGGAATTGGAATGATATTTCACAATTATTAAAAACAAAAACAGCCCTGGCTGGTGTTGCTCAGTGGTTAGAGCATCGACCTGCGGACTGAAGGGTAAGGTGTCTGATTCCCAGTCAAGGGCATGTACCTGAGTTGCAGGCTGGATCCCAGCCCTGGTTGGGGTGCATGCAGGAGGCAACCAATTGATGTGTCTCTCTCACATGAATGTTCCTCTCTCTTTCTTTCTCTCTCTTCCCCCTCCCTCCCTCCTTCCACTCTCTCTAAAAGAATCAATGGAAAAAAATGTCCTCGGGTAAGGATTAACAAAAACAAAAAAACCAAAACAAAACAAAAGCAAAAGCCTGAGTTGAGACAGTGTTTTTCTTATGCAGATAGCTCAGCCCTGCTAATATTGTGTAGGCATTCCAATATAAACCAAACATAGAGATAGTTTAGGGCAAAGCACTGAAGAATCAGGTTCTGACATTTACTACCTTTGAACCAATTATTTCATTTCTCTGGGCCTCAGCTTCCTCTTCTGTAAATTGAGGATAATCATAATGGCAGGTGTCTCAAATTGCTGGCGATTAATTACTGTGTTAAGGCAGGGAAAGCATTAACAGAACTCTTTCCCTTTCTGCATGCACATTAGACCTGCTTTTCGCTTTCTAATTGTTTCCCTGGAAACCTGATAACACGGGAAACCTGATACCAGTGTTAGTAGGCAACATTGCTTATGGTAAAAAAAAAAAAAAAAAAAAAAAAAAATGACCTTGAATTGGTAGCATGCATGGTCTGGGAGTTACAAGTACTCTTCACCGAAAGTCATAACTTCAGTCTTCCTGAAGGCTGTAACTCAGAATTGGGCAGGTCTCTTGTGGGACCCTTGAAACCCTGCTTTTGAAGTGCCTATGAGAGTATTGGTTCCTGCGGGTATAACCTTTGCCAGCCAAGGCTGTTCCTGAACCACCCAGTGTGGCTCTCAAGTCCCCAGCCCTGGGAGCCTAGGTCAGTAGCTCCTGGACAATAATGTGTAGGGCTGCGTAAGCTGCGGGGAGCTCTGCTTTGGGAAGAAAGGAACACCAGATGCTGCCCTCTGTTGGCAACCTGTGGTTCTAACCAATGTCCTTCCAGGTGCATTTGATGTGTGTGGCCCGAGTCCTTTGGCCTTGTGCTTAGTTGAATCTCAGCAGATCTACCAATGAGCACTTAGTAAGCGTCTGGTTAAGTGCTAATTGTTTAAGGTAGCTAATCCTTTCAATTCTGTTTCATTGCCTATCAGAGAAGAACTATGAGCAGACTTACAATGTATTATTGAAATGCCTGTTTTTATTTCTAGACCACCCATATACAGAAGAGGGGAGTGGAGAATCAAGCTGATTTCTCCAAACAATTATCTCCCCAGCTTTTGGATCCTTTCTCCTGGACACATCTGGCTTGTCAATGTCTGTTTTTAAAAGACATAAACAGAACTTGACATGCACTCTAGGTGTGGTTTGAATGCTGGCACATTGCAACCCCCCATCCCCATCTTCTTTGAGACAAGGCATTGACGAGTTGGGGTCTTACCTGTCTGCAGGGCCTGTATTTCCTTCAGTGCATTGACTTCTCTCCAGAGCTTTTCAACTTGAGTCTTTAGGTCTCCATCCTTTTCTGGGGATATTTTAGGGTGGGGTGGTGTAGGAGAAATGAAAAGCATATGATTGAAATGATGTGAAAATAAGACCTGGTCAGGTAGCTCAGTTGGTTAGAGCATCAGCCTGGTACACCAAGGTGCTGGGTTTAATCCATAGTCAGGGCACATACAAAAATCAACCAAGAAATACATACATAAGTGGAACTACAAATCGATGTCTCTCTCTCTCTCTCTTTTTTTGTCTCTCTCTCCCTTCCTCAGTAATAATAATAATAATAATAATAATTCAAAATAAAATAAAGCTTTGAGATCCAGAGTGGTTTTGATGAAATTGAGCTCGGTGTACGTGAAAAATAAAGCATGACTCTAAGTTGGCCAGGAATATTCATAAGGGTTTGGTGAGGATAATAATACTGGAAGTTCCTTCCTTGTGTCGGGCTCCCTTCTCTCACTACAGCCCTTCCCGTGGGACTCTCTCCACCAGGCTGCAGACTCCCTGACCTGCCGTCCCCTCCTAGAGCAGCCGCCTCCTCTCAGGACCCTGTCCTTGGGGTCCTTCCTGCCCGGAACACTCTTACTCATCTCGTGATTAAGTTTAAACCTCTCTTCTTCTGAGAACAATTTTCTGATTATCCTCTCTACATTGGCATCCCTCTGGCTAATCTTTGTCTTTGAACGTTTTTCTTCAGAATACTTTCTCCACTCTATAGTTATTTCACTTAATTTTATCGGTCTGGTTGTGCAGCGTATCCCTGATGCTTACCACAGTACTGGCACATAATAGGTGATGCAAATCAGCACAGCTTTAGAACTGATGAGGGCTGCCTTAGAAATTGACAGCTTGTGAGCCCTTCAAAGGCAGGAATTGTAATAAATTATGATAAAAATAAGAAGTATTAAAAGCCACCATTCTGTATGTGCCAAGAGCTTGATTCTTTCAATATTCCTGTGAGATAGATACCATCACTATCCCCTTTTCACAGAAGAAGAAATAGAGGCACAGACAGCTGAATTAACCTGTGCAAGGTCACCCCGCTGGTAGGGTACAGAGTCAGGATTTGACTCTCACTGACTCCATTTCGGTTCTCTTCCCATCCCTCCCATCTCCTTCTGCAGTGATCACCTTCACCAGCTCGGTCCCTAACACATGGTCTTGGACAGAGAAGATGCTTAAAGCTTGATAGGAGCTGTCCCCAGATGCCTCCTTAGGAGGATGCTGTATAGAAAATCTATGCTCTGTGCTGGGTTTTTCTGGACAGTCCCAAACCCAAATGTGCTAATTCACCATCCCTTTGAACATGTGCTTTGCGAACCAAGTATTTCCACATTTGGGTTAGGAAAATGCCTTCTGAGGTACCCAGGGGTGGCTCCTACCTCTGTTTCACTTGATACTCAATAGCTCAGCTCAGAAATACAATAGCGCAAGGATTTCCTTATTGGGACCATTCAGTCCAGAATCAATATATTCAGAGTGCAAAACCATTGGCTGTGGGGGGCCAGGCTTGCAAAGACCTGAGGACTTGCTTCCAAGTTACAAGTTGTCAGTTCTATAAACGTCATGCCCCATCCCTCTCAGCTTCCTGCTCTATTCTATTGAAATAAGTGACCTCCACAGAGAAGCTGTAAACATTGTAATTAACATAAAGACACAAGAATTACTACTAGGCCCCTGGGAGATCATTACGGAAGTCATTATCCAGGTGGCTTGGCTTCTGTTTCTATCTTTTGTGACAAATGTGAATGTATTTTGTCTATAACGAATACAGGGAACAACTATTTCACTGTAAAATTTATATTTTATTTATTACTTCAGGGCATGATTTTTTGAGACCTATACAGTAAATACTAGAGAAATCTTTTGTTTGGAGCTAGATCACTCAATTGCCATTTTGAGTTTTTAAAAAAGGCTTTGTGCCCTGGCCGGTTTGGCTCAGCGGTTAGAGCGTTGGCCCCTGGACCAGAGAGACCCGGGTTCGGTTCCCACTAAGGACACATAACTTGGTTGCAGTTTGTCCCCGGCCCTGGTTGGGTCATGCGGGTGGCAGTCACTCGATGTGTCCCTGACCCTTTCACGTCGATGTTTTTCTCTCTCTCTCTCCCTTCCACTCTATCTGAACAAAAAATGGGAGAATGTTCTCGGGTGAGGATTTAAAAAAAAAGACTTCTTTTCATTTTATTTTTAGTGTTCTCCAAAATAGGTACAGTATAGAAATGATGCAAAAATAATTCTGTGAAGAAATGCCCAGTAAACATGAAAATATCTCTGCCTCATTAACGATCAAATAAGTGCAAATTAAAAAAAAAAAAATTTTTTGTTCTTTTGGTTAGGTTGGCAGGGCTTAAACTGGTGGGGTGATGTTGTGTTGCCAAGGTGTGTGAAAACGGCACTCTCGTACACTGAAGAGAGGACATAGATTGATGCTGTTATTCTGGGAGACGATTAGAAAATATGATTAACCTGAAAATTTGCTTCTAGAAATGTATTATAACATCCTAGCATGGAGGAGCAATATACATATAGACGGTCCCTGACAAGAAGGTTTAATTTCTGACTTTTTGACTTAACTATGGTGTGCAAACCATACGCTGCCAGTAGAAACTGTACATCCAGTTTTGAATTTTGATCTTGTCCTGGGTGAGCGTCACGTGGTGCCATTCTCCCTGTGATGCTGGGCAGAGACAGAGAGTCACAGTGTCCAGTCAGTCACGTGATCACGAAGGGCAACAACTGATACTCTATCGTATATACTGTGTTGTCAGTGATTTCTGGAATATTGTGTCATGAGCACATTTAAGATAGTTTAGGCTAAGCTATAATATATAGTAGGTTTGGTGTATTAAATGCATTTTCAAGCTAAGATATTTTCATATTATCAGGATGTAACCCCATCATAATGAAGAGAGTCTTTTTCTTTTTCTTTTTTTATCGTCACCTGAGGATATTTTCTTGCATTTATCTTCAGATAGAGTGGGAGGAAGGGGGGGGGGGAAGAGAGAGAGAAACATTGATGTGAGAGAGAGCCACATTGACTGGTTGCCACCCACCCAACCCCAACCAGGGCTGGGGACAAACTGCAACTGAGGTACATGCCCTTAGCAGAAACTGAACTCAGGACTCTTTGGTCCGCAGGCTGACGCTCTAACCGCTGAGCCAAACTGGCCAGGGCAGTCAGCGAATCTTTATATGTGTATAAAGCAGTTCACTGAGGCACTGAATCAAACAGAGATAGATTGAAAACCACACAAAAGTTCACCAAGAGAACAGATTAAATAAGTCATGACCCATCTACACAATGGAATATTATGCAGCTGTTAAAATGACTGAGGTATGCTTTGCATTGCTATCCAAGAGTTAATAGATGAAATTAATTAGTTTGTCTGCCAGACACTTGACATAGCCAGTTCTTGTTTTTTTAAAAAAATATCAAATTTTAATTGTGCATTTAAAAAACTGGGAATAATGTTCAGCCTGTGTGGCTCAGTGGATGGAGCATCATCCCATGGACTGAGAGGTCCCAGTTCAATTTCTGGTCAGGACACATGCCTGCATTGCGGCCTTGATCCCTAATAGGGGGCGTGCAGGAAGCAGCTGATGGATGTATCTCTCTCACATTGATGTTTCTCTCTCTCTATCTTTCTAAAAAAGTCAATAAAAACGTATTAAAAATATATATAAAAATAAAAAAAAAAACTGGAAATACTACCTCCCAACAATTTATAGTGGGTAATTCTGTGGAGAGGATTATTTGCAGGTACTTAAAATGCTTTAAGTGTGTGAGAGGGTAAGGAGAGACTGTTCTGCAAATCTCGGCTTACTGCTTCACCTACTGTAGAATCTGCGTATTGGGACCTAATGGGATAAACTAGCAAGAACTGCTTTTAGAGGATGATACTAAGACGTGTACCAGTCAGTTTAAAAAAAAAAAAAATAAGGTGTGTTTGTATGTACAAATGTGCATGGGGGGGGGGGAGGGGAGGCTCTCTATAACCTGAACTGCAATTACTTCAGAAACAACCACACAGCACACACACACACAATTCATCCCCCTCCCCACGTCCCTATTGGGTGGTCACCACTTCACACTCCCTCCCACTAGTGAAGAAATACTGGCTACAAAAACATGCCACGTCACCCAGTACCTTTTCTCTCCTCCTCCCCCGCCCGCATCCTCAGCAATATACTTTACCTGTGCGTGGGAAATATTTCAACCTTTCCTTAAGGAGGTAGCAGGGCACTATCATATTTTATAAGGAAAAAACATTCCACTTAGGAAAACTTGCATCAGACTTAAATTGTATAAATAAATTCCCCTAGAAAGGGGCACTTCATAATCATCAAAATACAACACAAGACAAGCCCCCTTTCCACCCACCAGCCACCTGTGTTGTGTCAGATCAAGACCAAGCTTGTTGGTATTTTTCTGTGTTTTATTGTTAATGAAGTGCCATTGATAAGGGAATAGTGTCATAATATTGACTTTAAAATGTTCTGCTGCGAAAATGACTGAGAGGATGAGATAAAACATTGCCGGTGTTTTTCCTTTTGCTTTAGTTCCAGCATGTTGCAAATACATGGCCATCATGTTGGTTCTTTTTTTTAATAGTCCTCACTCGAGGACATTTTTTGATATTTTGTTCAGATAGAGTGGGAGGGAGAGAGAGAGAGAGAGAAACATCATCGTGAAAAGGACACATCGAGTGGTTGCCACCCACACGACCCAACCAGGGCCGGGGACAAACTGCAACCGAGGTACATGCCCTCAGCGGGAACTCAACCTGGGTCTCTCTGGACCGCAGGCCAACGCTCTAACCACTGAGCCAAACTGGCCTGGGCATGTTGGTTCTTTGTAACATTTATTTTTTACCTCTTCACCTAATTCAAGCCACCCAAAATCTGCGACTGCTCGCAGACTCAGTTTTGCATTAAAATGTCTTCAAACACTCCATGACTTTGGAAGTTAAAATATATTTCAGTTAAAGAGAGGTTCAATTTCTCTATAACATAAAAAAGCCTAAATATATAGTGCAGACTGTCCTTCTACTAAAAGAAAATACATCTACATGGTAACCAGTGACAAAAGAGAAGTCACAATTATCAATAGTTCTTTCCTCTACTACACATTGAATATGATTATAATGCTCTCACACTTATATTTGAACAGAGTTACACAATCTCTACGAGTGAAACAGTGTCCTCTAAAATCACTATGTTCTGCTTGACCCCTTATTCATAATATCAGATGTCCACATGTCCAGTGACTCCCTCTGAAGAACAGTCTACATATCTAACCCCACACGACAAAGAATATACAATATAGATTTTTTTTTACATTACAAGAGCTTTTTTTTTTTTTCCTGCCAAAGAAAAACCCTATTACATGACTCTTTTAAACAGCAAACTCTCCAGAGAGTGAAAAGGTCGCTTGGTTCCACGAAATGCCATACCCATATGATGACATAGTACTGTCACCAGGAACAGTCTCCTGGAGGAGTGGGGAGTGAACACTGTGCAGCCCCCACCCACCCCCGAGTGAGCCTAGTGTTTTCCTGGGCTGAGAAGCCCTGTTACCTTTCACTCGGCGTTTGCTGTGTTTCCTGGCTTTGAATTTGGACGTGTGGCTGGTGGTCTGGTCCAGGAGTAAGGTGACGACCAGGATGTAAATGACAAGTGCGCTCTTTGCCATGGCTCCCGGGCAAGTCTGGTGGCCACTGTGCAGCCGTCTGCAGTGGCTAAGGGGCACGGAGCCTGCACAGCCACATCTTGCTCCGGAGTGCCGGGGCCAGCTTTATAGACGTGAGCTGGGAGCTGGCTGCCGTCCCGCTGACGAAACGTTCGAGTGCCTCGGCTGGCCACAGCATAAGGTGGCCCCTTGTTCTCCTCCCTGGGTCAGACTTTTCTATTTTAATATCGGTGCTATGTTTCCTAGCGGACTTGCCTTTTCAGAGTGTGTCAGAATTAACTAAGGGATGAAGGGTTTTGCCTGTTTTTCTTTTTCTTTCTTTTTTTTAATTTAAACTCCAGGAAGCTTGGGGGTCTCTGTGGAAAACCCCACATGTAAGTCTTTCATTTGGAGAGCTGGAGTTCACTTAATGTTCTGGGAAATGTGTTCAATTCCATATTCAGGGCAAAAAATTACCCAAAACAACCCAGCCTGAGCTCGAAAGAGGAAAGTTACTGTGTGTGTGCGTGTGGGTGTGTGTGTGTGTGCATATGTGAGAAAGAGACAGAGAGAGAGAGAGAGAGAGTTGCCACAACACCACCTGTGTGTCTAGTCTATACCCACCTGTGCATCTATAGGTTCCTTACTGGTAGGTTCCTTACTGGAAATAATGGAGACAGCTGAAGGGGAGAATTCATAAGGTATAAGCCTCCCTTTATAAGGGTTCGATGGATTCATCAAGAATTACATTCTTGCCCGGCCGGTGTGGCTCAGTGGATGGAGCGTCGTCCCATGGACTGAGAGGTCCTGGTTTGATTCCTGTTCAGGGCACATACCCTGGGTTTACATGCTTGATCCCCAGTAGGGGGCGTGCAGGAGGTAGCTGATTGATGTATCTCTCTCACATCGGTGTTTCTATCTCTATCTAAAAAATCAATAAAAACATATTTTAAAAAATACTTGATAAAATAAAAAGAATTATATTCTTGCTCTGGCCGGGGAGCTCAGTTGACTAGAGTGTCATCCAGACACGCCAAGGTTCCGGGTTCATTCCCCAGTCAGGGGATTGAATGCATAAATCAATGCATAAATAAGTGGAACAACAAATCAATGGACTTTTTTTCTCTCTCTCCCCCTCCCTTTCTTTCTCTAAAATCCATAAATTAAAAAATTAAGAATCACATTCTTAGAGTGAAAAGGAAATGAAGACAGTGAATTACTTCCACAAGAATTAATGTAAAACATCAACTATAGTTATTTTATGGAGGATCCTCACCACCCAATACCTGTTTTCCTTGAAACTACCCCAAACACTTAAATCACGTTTTCAAGTGAAATATAGAAATAACAAAGAAATATAATGAAGAAGTTGGTGTAATTATTCTCACCTTAACAATGGGCTTTGAGGACAAGTATTGAGAGCCAGATAGACATTCACGTCAAAAACAAGGGACTTCCATTCAGGTGTGATGGAGATGGAGTGAGTTAAACCCCAGGGCAAGGCATCTGTGGACCAACTCCACCACGTTGTTGTCTGGGTGCAGATAGAGAGCAGGTAGGAACTTGGAAGGTCTGAAGGACCACACTTATTTCATCGTTTTTTGGAGACAACAGGAGAAGCATTGAGGGGTGATTGATTCCTTCCGAATCTTAAAAAGGAAAACCATAGTCTCATCCATCTTGACTTCCTCCTGCTAAAGCCACTTTGAACCTGCCCACGTATGTATACCAGAGTAAGGCCCTGGTGTGGGAAAGTCGGACGTAATCTAGCCATGGAAGTGTGAAATACAAAAATAAAGATTTTACTAATGCAAAACCCATATCCTGATTTGGGCAAACAGTGAGTAGGCATCTGAAAGCGTTGTGGAGACAAGCTAAGCTGGGTTCACATTCTGCTTTCACCCATTTATTGCTGTGTACTCGTGGGCAAGTCACCGAGCCTCTCTGAGTCGCCTCTTCTCCTGACGACGGGCTAGGGCTGAGGGAAAGCGTAAATGAGATGATGGCCGTGAGCACGCAGCACAATGTCCAGTGCTTAACAATAAGAATAGGAATAGCTGGAATGGTTTTACCATTAATTAGAACAGTAAGTAGACTTTCGGGAGCGCCAGTTCTTTTCAGTCTTCACAGCAAGCCTACGAGATAAGCAATCTCTCCATGTCATAGATGATGGAACCTGACTGAGCCTCAGAAAAGTTAAGAGGATTTGGTCAGTGTTACTCAGGCCCCACGGGAAGGAGTAGAAATTAAAATTGAGTTTTGATTGACCCCAGAAGACTGCTCTTTTGACCTGGGCTGTAAAAAAGAAAAAAAAAGTGCTTTGATTTGAATAGGAAAAAAGATCAATGTTTTACAACTGATCTTATGATTGATCAAATGCTTTTTGCCAGCTTCTCAAATCCTTTATTCTGAGATTTCCAGTTACAGATCCTGGTAGAAAGCTAATGATTGCTCTTGGATCTTTGACATGTGCCATGTTCAAACCGAACTTATAAGAACAAAGTGTCTTTTTTCCTCAAAATAAATCCATATTGTTTTTAAGCTCTTTTTCCTTTTCAAGAAAGGCTCTGATACACTTTTTATTTGTTTTCTTTTAGCCAGATCTTAAAGCCCATGCTTTCTTCTTTAAAAATTAATAGACTTTAGCCCTGGCCAGTTTGGCTCAGCGGTTAGAGCGTCGGCCTGCGGTCCGGAGAGACCCGGGTTCAGTTCCCGCTAAGGGCACGTACTTCGGTTGCAGTTTGTCCCCGGCCCTGGTTGGTCGTGCGGGTGGCAGCCACTCGATGTGTCCCTTCACGTCGATGTTTCTCTCTCTCTCTCACTTCCTCTCTCTCCCTCCCACTCTATCTGTACAAAAAATGGAAAAATATCCTCGGGTGAGGATAAAAAAAAAAAAATTAATAGACTTTATATTCTAGAGCAGTTTAGACTTACAGAAAAGTTGATGAGAACGTAGAGAGGGCTCCTGTTACCCTCTCCCCTTGCCCACCCCCATTTATCCTGCTATTAACATCTTGCATTTGTGTGGTATATCTCTTATAATTGATTAATAAATATTGATATATTAACTGAACTCTATAGTCTATATTAGGGTTCACTTTGCATTGTACAGCTCTATAGGTTTTAGGAAATAAATGTATAATGTCATGTATCCACCAATGCAATAGCATATAGAATAGTTTCACAGAAACCCACACTTAAAATTTTTTTTTCAATTACAGTTTACAGTCAATATTATTTTATGTCAGTTTCAGGTGTGCGGCATTGCAGTTAGACAATCATATACTTTACAAAGTGCTCTCCTGATATTTCCAGGACCCACCTGGCACCATACATAGTTATTACTCTGTTATTGACTGCATTCCCTGTGCTGTACTTTGCACCCTCATGACTATTCTGTAACTGCCTATTTGTACTTATTAATCCATTCATCTTTTTCACCTAGTCCCCAACCCCCTCCCCTCTGGCAACCATCAGTCTTCTGTTCTTTGTGTCTATGAGCCTGTTTCAATTTTGTTCATTCATTAATTTTGTTCTTTAGATTCCACATTTAAGTGAAGTTATATTGTATTTTTCTTTCTCTGAGTGATTTATTTCACTTAGAATAATACCCTCTAGGTCCACCTATGCTGTCGCAAATGGTAACTCTTCATTCTTTATAGCTGAATAATATGCCATTGTATGTGTGTACCACACTTTTTTTTTCATTTCTTTATCCATAGGCACTTGGGTTGCTTCCAAATCTTGGCTATTGTAAATAATGCTGTAATAAACATAGGGGTGCATATATTCTTTGAAATCGTGTTGTGGAATTCTTCAAACATATATACTCAGAAGTGGAATCACTGGGTCATAAGGCAGTTTCCTTTCTATTTTTTTTTATCCTCACCTGAGGACATTTTTCCATTTTTTGTTCAGATAGAGTGGGAGGGGGAGAGAGAGAGACATCGATGTGAAAGGGACACATCGAGTGGCTGCCACCCGCATGACCCAACCAGGGCCGGGGACAAACTGCAACCGAGGTATGTGCCCCCAGCGGGATCTGAACCCGGGTCTCTCTGGACCGCAGGCCGACGCTCTAACCGCTGAGCCAAACCGGCCAGGGCTCCTTTCTAATTTTTTTCAGATACCTCCATAGTGTTTTCCTGAGTGAAGCCCACAGTTTTGTTCTAATGAAACATCTGAGGATTCGCCCCTTTCCCGCTTGCACTGCCTGGCATTCCTTAGATTCTCTCTCCGCGGCTCTGATCTCCTGCACTCTCTGCCTATGATCTTATTCCTTCTCGTGGCTTCACAGTCTGTTTTTTAATTTTGTTTTTTCTTTATTGATCTTAGAGAGAGAGAGGAAGAGAGAGAAAGATAGGAACATTGTTGAGAGAGAACATCGATTGGCCACCTCCTGCATGCCCCCCACGGGGGATTGGGCCCACAACCTGGGCATGTGCCCTGACCGGGAATCGAACTGGCAACACCTTGATGCATGGGTCGACGCTCAACCACTGAGCCACACCGGCTGGGCTTCACATTCTGTCTGGGACATTGCCACACTCACATCTCAACTTAGATCTCCTTCTTCAGACTCGTTTCCTTTTGTCCATGTGACATTTCCAGTTGGACGTCTCAGAGACATTTCAAACGCGGATGGTTAAAATTAATTGGATTTCTCTCCCATTAATGTCCCATGAATTTTTAAAAGCTCCAGTCCTCCTGAGTCTTCCCGGTCAGAGTTAATGTCTCCGTCAGCCATTCAGTGGGCCGATTCCACAACCTGGGAGTCATCTCTGAGCCCCAATGCCTTCGGCCTCAGTGTCTCTCCTCACGACCTTGGCAACAGCAGGTGCTCTGGTTTCTACCTCCACAGGCTTTGCTCCTCCCTGATGCCATCATCTCATCCCAAGTCACCAAGGGCTCCTGCCCTCACCCAGCTCCTGCCCAACTCGAGCGAACGCGCCACATCGCTAATGTGGTTGTTAGTCTCCTGGTCTTTCCATTGTACTTACAGTGAAGCCCAGATTCCCTAGCAT